AGGGTTTAGTGTTTAGGGTTCAGGTTTCAGGGTTTAGGGTTTAGGGTTCAGGGTTCAGGGTTTGGGGCTTCAGTGCGCCCTAAACCCCCAAGCCCCAAGGTAGGAGCCCTTGTTTGGGGGCTTCGTCCTGAGGCCTTCCCAAGGCGGCCTCACCCCAGGGTCTTGAGGGCCGAGGGGCTGTTGGCTAATACAGGCCTCAATAATTACCTATAGTAGTTTGGGGGTTTCTTATTATAAGTATAGTATAATAATATAATATGCCCCGAAACCCTATTCGGATTGTTAAGGCCCCTACATCACCCATGGTATATTATTAATTATAATATGGAGCCCCCAAAATAGTATTGGGAATTATTAGTTGGAGGTTCATGGGTAATTGTAAGTGGAGTTATAAAGTCCCCCAATATGGGTTATAAAGTACAGTTACCCTACTTATAACCCCACTTATAACTACCCATGAACCTCCAAGTAAGGCCCCTACATATCATGTTTTGTGCCTTGAGTTTTGCAGCTCCCGGAGGTGCGGCGCATCCTTGCAGAGGTCTCCTGTCCACAGTCGCAGGGTTGGGGGATGTCATAGTATTTTGGTATAGTATAGTATGTTATAGTATATTATAGTATATTATAGTATTTTATAGTATTTTATAGTATATTATAGTAACTAATTATAGTATATTATAGTATATTATATTTTTTTTAGTATATTATAGTATAGTATATTATATCATTCTATATGATGGCCTTCTGCGAGGGTAGAGTGCTGAGTGCTCGATTCTTTCAGCAATTGGGGCCTCTCAGACTCACTTCGCAGGATGCTCTTTGCAGGATCTTGGTGAAGCCCGTACTGTGATCCATGCTTGCGGTTTTGATCCTTTGACATGAGCTTGGAGTTGTGGGCAAGGCTTCCGACATCCGCCTTCGGCAAGAGCTGAGGTCACAGCTGATGTCCAGTTCGACTTGAGCCGCCTGGGCCACCGGGAGACGAAGGGACAAGTCGGGTGCGGTACTTCCTCGGGTTCCACGGTTTAGGGTTTAGGGTGAGCAAGCATGGGCACAGAGAGCACAAACAGTCGATCTGCTCTGAATTCTGGGTTTTCCAAACACCCAGAAAGAAACTTTTCGTAGTGTTGCTATTGTGATCGACAGCTTTGTAGGTAAGACCACAAAGACATACAAGAAGTGATGCCCATGAGAACTGTCAGACATTGCTCAGCGGTGTTACAAGTTGCAGTGTTGTGACGGTTTCGAAGAATCCGGACGTGCAACCTAACACTTACGTGCAAGTACTCATATCCGCATATCACGCATAACCCGAAACCCTGAGCCCTTGTAGCAATGTACTGCTGGCTTTCAGGAGACAGCGTTGCTTCCTGGTGGCCTCTGGGTGCGGCAGGTGTGGGCCATGCGGAAACTCAAACCAACAAGCATTGGTGAGAGTGAACATTTTAGACGACAAGTCTCTGCTACTTGGCCGGGGGGTTGTGTTTCTCTCCCTAAACCCAAAACCCGTTTTCCTCACAGGGGCTCATAAGGAAATTCCGTCCAACGCTCTCATGGCAGGTGGAGCCCTTGCTGGAGGTGAGGCCAGGTGCCTCACGTCTTGGGTGTCTGTTACCCAAAGCCCTTGTAAACCCTGATTAGCCCTATTGTTATGATAACAGTATTAATTCTTGTTATCATCATCATCATCATCATCGTTATCATTAGAGCCACTTTTCCCGGAACCTCCTTCAGGAACCCCAAATTAGGTCTTTGTTAGCTGGCTTGTGAGGCCCTGACCCTAAGCCGTAAGTCCGAAATCCTGACTGCCTGGCTTCGGCAAACGGCACCAAGAAAGACAAAACAAAACCTAAACCGTAAACCCTAAAAGGGAGCGGTTTCTTAGGCGCTCAAACTAGGACCCCTTATTCGGTCCCGTTCCGGGGAACTTTCTTTCAAAAGGGGAGCCACTTGAGCCTCTGCCTGTCAGGGGCCTGCTCCAGCTCTCCACGGAGGGCATCTACTTTCAGCCGCATCCGAACTTCTCCTCGGAGCCGGTGAAGCAGGCCTTGTCTCGCTTTAGGGTTTAGGGTTTAGGGGTTTAGGGTTTAGGGATTGTGGGGTTTAGGCTTTAGGGTTAAGGGTTTAGGTTTTGGGTTTGACGACTGGCTTGCATGTTTACGTTTTCGGTCACTTCAGGGGAGGTCGAAATCTTAAGTCAAGGAGGGCCAAAATTGCTTGTTGGCCCTTCAGGGTCTGGATGTTCTGGCCCCTCAGGGTCTAGATGTTCAGGTGGCAACCGGACTTGGGGCTTGCCTTCATTTTGCTGCACCTACCAGGGTTGATATCTTTTCATCAAACGACGACTACTGCTACTACTGCTGCTACTACTACTACTACTACTACTGCTACTGCCACTGCTACTGCTACTACCACTACCACTAGCACTACCAGTACCACTGCCACTACCACTTCCACTTCCACTTTCACTTCCACTTCCACTTCCACTTCCA